CATATAGGCCCCCTCAGATTCTGTCAAAAAACATTACAGTTAAGGGGTGACGCTATTCAATCAAGCTGCAAGCGAGGAATTCCCTTGAAGTGTGTTAAGTAATTACGGTGAACGTATTGGCTGTTTATGTATGTACTGTTTAAATGTCAGACCAGTGTATTATCATTCACAGCATCATTTTCTCATTACAGTGTAGCCTATGGCAACCAACTCTCAGCAGGCAAGCATTTTCTATCAAAAGGGTACTATTGGAATAATGATTTTACATACAGATTAACTCATTTCACTTTTTTCTATCATCGACGTTTCGAGAAGTCTGCCGGGGATGAACATATGCAGAACTGTTCACAAATATTCTGTGTATATTCTTCTTGTGGGTTTCTTCCCCTTCATAATGGAATGTAAACAGAATCAAAACTGGAAAATTGCCATCAGTACCACGACTCGAACCAAGACAACATATTCTTGTGTGTCTAATCAAAACCTCACAGCTCTTTGCACCTTGTGTGTTTTGGCTTACAACTAGTTTTCAAAACACATTTAGACAAACAAAGACATGTGAATCCAATACGCTTGAGCATCCAATTTAAACCGTAAAGCTTGCCACTTTGAACCTTGTATGTATGTATGTATTGGCTTGCAGATCGTTTGCCAACACATCTGGCCTTTAAGATTAAATGCTCTTGGTCCAATTTGTTGCCCTTTAAATTCCGTCACTCCAATCACATGGACAATTGCCGGAGCATTGCTGCACAGTGTGTATAGACGCAGCAAGTTGGCCACTTAGAAAGCATGTCTCATGTATGGTTTTTGCAGACAGCAGTCTGTTGAGAGGTTACAGGGGTGATGTTTTAATGGAGCAGACAGCAGTCTGTTGAGAGGTTATAGGGGGGATGTTTTAATGGAGAAGACAGCAGCCTGTTGAGAGGTTATGGGGCAGACAGCAGCCTGTTGACAGATTATGGGGCAGACAGCAGCCTGTTGACAGGTTATGGGGCAGACAGCAGCCTGTTGACAGGTTATGGGGCAGACAGCAGTCTGTTGACAGGTTATGGGGCCGGGAACAGGCAGTTTGTTGACAGGTTTTATGGGGCAGAGACAGCAGCTGTTGACCGGTTATGGGCAGACATGCAGCCTGTTGACAGGTTATGGGGCAGACAGCAGTCTGTTGACAGGTTATGGGGGTGATGTGAGTTTAGAGAGGAGAAGAACAGAACAACTGAGCGACAGAGGATGAGGAGTAATGAGGTTGAAGAGTAAAGAGGATGAGGAGTAAAGAGGATGAGGAGTGATGAGGAGTAAAGAGGATGAAGAGTAATGAGGAGTGGAGGAGTAATGAGGATGAGGATGAGGAGTAATGAGGATGAGGAGTAATGAGGATGAAGAGTAAAGAGGATGAGGAGTAAAGAGGAAGTGGAGGAGTAAAGAGGATGAAGAAAGAGTATGTTAATGAGGATGAGGAGGGTGTAAAGAGGATGAGGATGGTGGTTAAGTAAGAGGATGAGGAGTGGAGGAGTAATGTGAGGTAGGGATGGGGGTAAGAGGAAAGGGAGGGGGGTAAGAGGGTGGGGGGTTCGGGGGAGGAGTAACGAGGATGAGGGGAGCAATTAGGGTGTGGGGTTGGGTGGGGTTGGGGGTGGTTAGGGTGGGTGGGCTTAAAAAGGGAGTAAAGGGAGTGCGGTATGGGAGTGGGTGTAAGGGTGGTTGGGTGGGGAGAGTGTTGAGCGGAGGGTTGGGTGGAGTTGGGGCGGAGGAGTCCGGTTGTCCTGAGGGTTTTTGGGTACGGGTGGGGGTGTATGGGAAATTTGGGTTGGGGTATGGTATGGGTGCTATGACGTGGGAGTTAGGGATGCGGTCTGAGGTGGGGTTAATGCGGAGTGTGGGGCGTTGGGAGTGGAGGTCCTATGGGTGGCCCCATATGAGGTGGGGTAAGAGCGAAGTAAGAGGTGGGAGGGTTTAGGGTGGTGGTGGGTGGGGTAATGGGGTGGTGAGTAAGGGTGGGGTTGAGGGGATGGCTGATGGGTTGGGAGTTGGGATGCGGGTAAGTGATGAGGTTGGGGTGGGGAGTAAAGAGGTGAGGTTGGGGTGGAGAGTAGGGTGGGTCTGGGGTGAGGGTTTGGGCGGAGCCCTGGGGTAATGGGTGGGTGAGGATGGGGCCTGGGAGTGGGGGTGGGGTTGGGGGTCTGGTTGGCGGAGTATGGGTGGAGGCGGTTGGGGTGGGGGTTGGGGTGGGCTGTTGGGGTGGAGGGTATGTTGCGGAGTTGAGGTAAAAAGGGTGGGGAGTTGTTGGGGGGGCTATAGGAGTGGGCGTTAAGGGTGGAGAGTTGCGGTGGGGTGGGTAAAGGGTGGGTTAAAAGGATGAGGCGTAGGGTTGGGGGTAAGGGTGGGATGGGCGTGGTGGGTGGGTGGGGTTGGGAGGGGGTGGTAAAGGGTGGGGAGGTAATGTTAGGGTGAGGTTCCCGGGTGATGAGTAAAGGTGGGGTAAAGGGTGGGAGTGGAGGGAGTAAGAGGAGTGGGGGAGTGAGGGTGGGGAAGGGGTAAAAGGGTGAGGGAGGTTGTAATGGGTGGGGTAAGGGTTGGGGTATGAGGGGTTGGATTTGGGGTAAGGGTGGGGTCCCCCCGGGGGTGTGTGGGGTTGGGGGGGGTGGGTGGGTCCCGGCTGAGGGGGCGTAATGTGGGTGAGGGTGGTGTGGGGTTTGAGGGCCGAAAATGTAATGGGATGAGGGTATGAGGGTGGGGTTTGGGAGTTAAAGAGGGTGAGGCGTAAAAGGTGTGGTATGGGTGAGGGAGTAAAGGTGAGGGTGAGGTGTGGTAAGGGTGGGGTAACCGAGGTGGGAGTACGAGGAGTGGAGGGTTTAAGGGTGAGAAGTATGTATGGGTGGGCGTGAGGTGTGGTAAAAGGTGGGGTGAGGATGGGGAGGGGGAGGGGGGGGATTGAGTAAAGGGGTGGGAATAAGGGTGGGGAGTTTTGGGTGGGGTGTCGGGTGGGGTTGAGGGGTGTTGTGGGTGGGGTCCTCGGTGAGGTTAGGGTTGCGGGTGGGGTCCCGGGTGGTATGGGTGGGGGGTTGTTGGGATGAGGGTTGGGGTGGAGTTGGGGCGGGGCGGGTTTGGGATGGAGGGTTTTATGAGGGTTTGTTGAGCTACGCGGTGCGGAGTAAAGGTATGGGTTGAGGGTGGGGAGTTGTTGGGTGGTTGGGGCGATCCCGGAGTAGGGTGGGAAAATTTAGGGTGGGGCGTATGAGGAGGGGGGGTGCGTAATGAGGAGTGGGGGCGTTTAAGAGGAGTGGAGGTTGAGGATGAGGAGTAAAGAGGATGGAGGAGTAAGAGGATGGGAATATGAGGATTTGGGGGAGTAAAGAGGTGGTTTGGGAATGGGAATTAGTAAAAGGTGAGGGCCAATGAGGATGGATGGTAAGAGGGATGAGGGTAAGGATGAGTGAGGGAGTAAAGGGGTGAGGTTGAGGGGTGGGTGGGATGAGGTATGAGGTGGGAGTAAGAGGATGATGAGTAATGGGTGAGGGTATGGAGGGCATTTAGGTGAGGTAAGAGGATGGATAATGGGGGCTGGGGAGTTTTTGGGGTGGGGGTCATGTGGGGGGGCGACGTATGGGGTTGGGGTTGGGTTTGGGGGGTAATGGGATGAGGGATTTGGGGTGAGGGTAATGTATGGGGAATGGGATAATAGGAGTGGGGGAAATAATGGTAAGGGTTGGGGGGTAATGAGGTGGAGGGCGTAATGGGAGTGGAGGAGTTTGGGGGATGGGAGTAAAAGGGAGGGTGAGGTGGGGTAAGGATTGGAGGGTAAAGAGGATGGGGTGGGGAGGGAGTGGTGGGGTTAAAGGGATGGGGTCCGGAGGGTGGTGGTAAAGGGTGGAAGGTTGTATGGGTGGGGTTAAGGGTGGTGGTCGAGGTGGGGTGAGGTGGGGGTGGAGGGTGGGTGGGGGGGAGTAAGTGGGATGGGGAGAGTTTGTAATGGGATGAGGAGTAAGGGGAGGCGTTGGGGTTTGGAAGGATGGGGTGGGGTGGGCGTAAAGAGGAGTAGGGTGGGGTTGAGGGGTGGAGGAGTAAGGGTGAAGGTAAGAGCTGGGGGGGAGTAGGTAATGTATGGGTGAGGAGTTAGAGGATGAGAGTCAAAGGGGGCGGGGTTAATGGAGGGTGGAGGGGTTGTTGAGGGTCTGTAATGGGTAACGGGATGGGTAAGGTTGGGAATAGGGAGTGGGGGGTTTTTGAGGTGGTTATGGGATGGGAGTGGGATGGGATAATGAGGAGTGGAGGCGTTTTGAGGATGGAGGGTAATGGGAGTGGACGAGTAATGAGGGTGAGGAGTAAAGAGGATGAGGAGTAAATGGATGGATGGTAAGAGGGTCAGAGTAATGGGATTGGAGGAGTAAGAACGGATAGGAGTAATGAGGAGTGGAGGGGTAAAGAGGGTGAGGGAGTAATGAGGAGTGGATGAGAGGTGAGGGTAATGGGATGGGAATGTAAGGGTGAGGGTATGAGGAGTGGGGGTTGGGGTAAGGGGGTTGGGTGGGGGTGGGCTGGAGTACTGGGATGGGGTAATGAGGGCACTGAGGTGAGGTAGTAAAAAGGGGGGTTTGGGGTGGAGGGTGAGGGGAGGGTAAGGTATAGGAGATTGAGGGTGGGGAGTTCATGGGGGGGGGGTTTGGGTGGGCGTATGGGGTGGGGCGTTGTTGATGGGTTGCGGATTGAGGGTGGAGGGTTGTATGAGGATGAGGTGGAGGCGTAATGAGGGTGGGGGTATGAGGATGAGGAGTAAGAGGATCGGGAGTTAAAGGGAGGGGGAGGTAGTAAAGAGGTTGGATGAGTAAAGAGGATGGGAGTATGAGGAGTGGTGGGTAAGAGGTGAGGAGTAATGGGGGGGATGAGGAAGAGGGGAAGAAAGGTAGTATGGGTGAGGGTTTAAAGGGTGCTGAGTCCCGGGGTGGGTGAGGTTGGGGTAACGGGTGGGTATGGGGTGGGGTAAGTAAAAGGGATTTTTAGGGCTATGAGGAAGGGGGAGAATGTAATGAGGATGAGGAGTTAGAGGATGAGAAGTAATGAGGAGCGGAGGAGTAATGAGGAGTGGAGGAGTAATGTAATGAGGAGTAATGTAATGAGGAATAACGAGGATGAGGAGTAAAGAGTATGAGGAATAATGAGGAGTGGAGGAGTAATGTAATGAGGATGAGTAATGAGGATGAGGAGTAAAGGGATGAGGAATAATGAGGAGTGGAGGAGTAATGAGGAGTGGAGGTGTAATGAGGAGTGGAGGCGTAATGAGGAGTGGACCAGTAATGAGGATGAGGAGTAAAGAGGATTGGAGGAGTAAAGAGGATGAGGAGTAATGAGGAGTGGATGAGTAAAGAGGATGAGGAGTAATGAGGAGTGGATGAGTAAAGAGGATGAGGAGGTAAGAGGATGGGGTAATTGAGGATGAGGAGTAAGAGGATGAAGGGTAATGAGGGAGTGGATTGTGGAGTAGTTAAAGAGGATTGATGGAGTTAAATGCGATTTAATGAGGAAGCAATAGAGGATGAGGAGTAAAGAGGATGAGGAATAATGAGGAGTGGAGGAGTAATGAGGAGTGGAGGAGTAAAGAGGATGAGGAGTAATGAGGAGTGGAGGAGTAATGAGGAGTGGAGGAGTAATGAGGATGATGAGTAATGAGGAGTGGAGGAGTAATGTAATGAGGAGTAATGAGGAATAATGAGGAGTGGAGGAGTAATGTAATGAGGATGAGGAGTAATGAGGAGTGGAGGCGTAATGAGGAGTGGAGGAGTAATGAGGATGAGGAGTAAAGAGGATGAGGAGTAAAGAGGATGAGGAGTAAAGAGGATTAGAGGAGTAAAGAGGATGAGGAGTAATGAGGAGTGGTGGAGTAAAGAGGATGAGGAGTAATGAGGAGTGGATGAGTAAAGAGGGTGAGGAGTAATGAGGATGAGGAGTAAAGAGGATGAAGAGTAATGAGGAGTGGAGGAGTAAAGAGGATGAGGAGTAATGAGGATGAGGAGTAATGAGGAGCGGAGGAGTAATGCAATAAGGATGAGGAGTAAAGTGGATGAGGAATAATGAGGAGTGGAGGAGTAATGAGGATGAGGAGTGGAGGAGTAATGAGGAGTGGGGGAGTAATGAGGATGAGGAGTAATGAGGATGAGGAGTGATGAGGAGTGGAGGAGTAAAGAGGATGAGGAGTAAAAAGGATGAGGAGTAATGAGGAGTGGAGGAGTAATGAGGAGTGGAGGAGTAATGAGGATGAGGAGCGGAGGAGTAATGAGGATGAGGAGTAAAGAGGATGAGGGAGGAGTAATGTAATGAGGATGAGGAGTAAGGAGGATGAGGAGTAATGAGGAGCGGAGGAGTAATGAGGAGTAATGTAATGAGGAAGAGGAGTAATGAGGATGAGGAGTAAAGTGGATGAGGAATAATGAGGAGTGGAGGAGTAAAGAGGATGATGAGTAAAAAGGATGAGGAGTAATGAGGAGTGGAGGAGTAATGAGGAGTGGAGGAGTAATGAGGATGAGGAGTGGAGGAGTAATGAGGAGTGGGGGAGTAATGAGGATGAGGAGTAATGAGGATGAGGAGTGATGAGGAGTAATGAGGATGAGGAGCGGAGGAGTAATGAGGATGAGGAGTAAAGAGGATGAGGGAGGAGTAATGTAATGAGGATGAGGAGTAATGAGGATGAGGATGAGGAGTAATGAGGATGAGGAGCGGAGGAGTAATGAGGAGTGGGGGAGTAATGAGGATGATGAGTAATGAGGATGAGGAGTGATGAGGAGTAATGAGGATGAGGAGCGGAGGAGTAATGAGGATGAGGAGTAAAGAGGATGAGGGAGGAGTAATGTAATGAGGATGAGGAGTAAGGAGGATGAGGAGTAATGAGGAGTGGAGGAGTAATGAGGAGTAATGTAATGAGGAAGAGGAGTAATGAGGATGAGGAGTAAAGAGGATGAGGAATAATGAGGAGTGGAGGAGTAATGAGGAGTGGAGGAGTAAAGAGGATGAAGAGTAATGAGGATGAGGAGTAAAGAGTAAAATGGAGGGGGGTGTGAGAATAGAGACAGAGAGCAGTAAGGAAGTGACGGAGGGAGAAGAAGGTGGAACGGCTAAGAGGAGTGATGCAGGGTTACAGTAACTAGTGGGGGAATTAAGAGCAAGGTATGATGGCCATGACACACCATTAGTGAAGAGGAGACAATAGGAGAAGTGAGAAGGGGAGAGCTGTGACGAGCGTTGTGGGACACAGAGGGCACACCATAGAGGGATATGCAGATAGCAGGAGCATGCTGAAGAAACAGACAAGTATTGGTTCAGATTCAGGGGTCTTACGTCCACGTCGTCACAGAGCAGGGACCCAGAGCCGTACTGTAGGCGGCACTGGTGGGCAGCGCTGTACAGGACCCCGGGGGGAACAGAGTTCAGATCCAGCACGTTCCGCACAGGGGGGTCATCCAGGCACCAGCCCCAGCCTCGACTGTGGAAGAACAACCACAACAACATGGTGGTCAGACAAATGCATTAAAGTGACACACATGCACACGCAAATCGAGATGGTGAAAAGGTGTGTTATTAAAGGGATAGTTTGGGATGTTGGCAATGGAGCCCGTTATCTACTTCCCCAGATCAGATGAACTCGTGGATACCATTTTTATGACTCTCCGTCCAGTATGAAGGAAGTTAGAGTATGAAAATGTATGCCCTCTACTAAATGACAAAAAAATAAAATAATATAATAAAAATAATAAATATATATATATATATATATATAATATAAAAAAAAAAATAAAAAAAAGGTCGTTTCATGAGCCAATGCAAACTAGCTTAGTGCAAAGACTGGAAGTCTGGCTAAGCTAGTGCTAACACTAGTTAGCATTTGGCTTGCGAAAGTACCTTGTTTTTTTAACTTCCTTCATACTAGACGCAGAGACATAGAAAGGGTATCCACGAGTTCATCGGACAATAGATAACGGGCTTCATTGCCAAAATCCCAAGCTATCCCTTTATGGCTAGAACAAAATGGAGGAGGGCTGAAATATGATTGAGCCTGATTTTAATGGACCATTTATTTCATAGTTGACAGCGCTGTATGTGACTGAGTAGACAGTGACGGCATGACAAGGTCTCCATGCAACAAAGCAGACAGACAGGGTGCTAACATAGTTTAGAGAGCTGTCTGCATGACACAGTCAAACCAGTCGTTAGAAGTCAACTCCAGCTCAGTCAAACTGCCAAGCTGTAACCACATGAATACAGCAGGCATTCTATCACATTAAATATAAAACGAGTCAATCCCCATTTTAAGGGGATCCAATCTATCTCCATAAGGGGCACTTTCAAATCCTAGTATTGGGAAAGTTTTAATTTCCCGCCGCACTTTGAAGACGCTGGAACAGTCCACATTTACTTTTCCTCCGCAAACAAAATGAGTAATGAATAGAAGAATCTGACAACCAGGGACTGATTTATCAGGTAGAACAGAAAAGCAGCAGGCTCCGGACCTCATAGGGTCAGAGTTGAATACCCGTGGTGTTGGATACAGGCAACTCCAACGGCCTGCTGAGGTGGTGAAATATGAACAGGACACTCAAATGCTTTTGAAAATATAGATTGCTATTATTTTCTGTGGGTATCATGATGAAGATACTCTCAATGTAAGCTCCTACGCTCCCTAACAACACAGATTAGGAAAGAGATCAAAAAAGCATGGGCTTGCCCTGGGCTCTGTTTTAAAAGATCACCTTTTTTTTTATATGACAGCGGTTCCACACGTTTCCATGATGCAAGTTGTGTTGGGAAAATATTTGCTGTATTTTATTCTGTTATATTTCATGCTATTCTTAGCCTACTATAACATATATGTGTGTTGACTGTGATCAGGGTAGCCTAAGTGTGTCTTGGCTGTTTAATTAACAAAACTAGTGATTATTGTGTGCATGACGCTGCACAGACCAGTAGCCCAACATAATTGAACTCAAAATATGCCATAAATTTTTTTTTCAAATACATTTTATTAGTCTTTTGTTTCTTAGGACCTGCCTAAACAAATTAATAATGGATTTATTTTTGATGGGTATATTTTCAATGGATCTATTAAAATAGACGCCCAACCACATCTGTTTGTAAGGGTGGGGGTTAAAATAGCGTAAATCCTGTGTGAAAGTACGGTTTGATGTTGTGTGTTCTATGCGAGGTAAATATTCCTTTAGAGGTGCACTCAAGTTACGAGTGCCATAGGAGGGAAATCCCAGAATCAAATATAGGTTACAAATGTAGGCTAAATGTATTTTAGTAGGCTACTCAAACGCTTGCCAGCCACACCATTTTATATGGCCTGCGTATCGTCTAAGCATGAATTAATGTAATAATTAACAATTATCTGGAAAAAATAGTCTTACCCTGCTTGCACTTAGTGCAGGCTGTGTAACAATCTACCGTGTTGATTTCACTCGTGCAGCACCTACTTCCACAATGGGGCGCAACTTTCACTGGGGACGGGGAGGACATGTCCCCCCCACATTCTGAAACTGCATTTTTGTCGTCCCCCCCCACAGTTTTATCATTGGAATGTGATACAAAAACGAGGCAACGGTATGCTTTAGGACCATGCAGACGCCTCCGAGCGTCGGGTAGGCTGTTTGGAGTGTTTATCCGACTGGATAAATTGTTTAAAAATAATAATAGTTATGTCCCCCCCCCCACTTCTAAAACCAAAGTTGCGCCCCTGCCCTTATCATAACCTTAAATTTACCGCCTACATTAGCCATTTTAGGGTGAGCTAGGCTATCCAGGGAAAGTCAACTTGGCAACGTGTCGTATTCTCACGTGGGGAGAGGGAACATAAGCTCTGCATGTGGACAAATTAGAATGTTTTCACACAACACAAATAACGGACTGTTCCCGGCTCTACACTCTCAATGCGTGCGTGGTTGGTAGCCTTGTCTGCCTCGCTGCTCACAGATTGGAATTCACAACACAATGCTACATAACAAGCTCCTGTTTAAAAAAAAAAATTGTATTATTTTAATTTAAAATGTTTCAGACAAATGTAATTGTTCTGAACCACGAGCTGACCCACACGTTGGAAGAACGTTCACATTCCACCTGCCAGCTGATTTTTTTAGCGGCACACCTGTGACTCAACTCATGGGAGAGTTTGTTTTGCATGGGTGCCCCGGGTGGGTGGAGAGTTCACTTAAGGACCAATGGAATGGTCTAAACATGTACAAACTCCGCCTACCCGGGGTACCGGGCCATGCAAAACGAACTCGCCCAATGATTAGCCCAACAGGGTAAATGCAGATAGACAACCCCATGCTTCAGCCTATGTATTTATAGCCACTATGCTGCATCAGTTGGGCTACAGGTGATAATGCTTATTGCTAATAGCACATCTGATAATATAGACCATGCATAGGCTATATGCATGGACCAATATGTTAAAATCATTGTAAAAATTCATTTACCAATATATTATTTGGCTCATTTCTGGAGGTGGAAACGAGAAGAGACCCTGAGGCGACCACAACACAACTCCATCGAGGGGGGGGCGGTAAAGGTAATCAATAAGAGTATTGAAGTGTTCAATCAAGACCAGTTCTACTGCTTTCATTCACACTGATTAGTCTGAAAGCTTTCTGAATAGAGCAAAGGATCATTTCTACCCTTGGTGTTATTTTATTGAATGTTGTTTTCTCTGCATCACTGCCCAGGCCACTGATTCTGACCCAGTAATTGGTGAGGTGTGATCACAGCAGTAAGTGGAACTGCTATCAAGACTCAAATCCTCCCAGCAGGCCTGTTTCTCTCAAGCCTGGTCCTAGATCGGTTTGTGCTGTATCGCCGACTTTTATGGTCATTGTCACGCTAAACAATGACCACAGGAGTTGGCAAGACAGTACAAAAGAGACCTGAGACCAGGCTAGTTTCTCTCCTAACAATGTAAAAAGCTGTGTGGATCTCGGCGAGCAAAACTCAACTCTGATCTCCAATTTCATCCCTCAGACACTATTCAGTCATATTGAAACCTACTGGAGTATCAGGGTAGCTAAAGTTCACATGTTTTATTGCCTGCAGTATAGTGGGTTATTACATTTGAGCTGGACAGATTCAGCAAAGAATGTTTAAACCATTACTTTTACAACTGTTGTCTTTGCAATTAATTGATAAAACTATGGCTAAGGGCCTTTCTAATATCCTGCTTCAGTAAACTCAGTCTGTTCCACTTATGTAGCATTTCACCTGAAATAACCTATTAAAATATGTTAGTGATTTCAACTCTAACAAAGATTGTTTGCATTTCTGAAGCAACATTTATACAATGATGCATCTGAAAATACTTCAGTGTAGACACGGCATCAGTCCAAACCAATACAATAACATGCTATAACAGATTATGACATCAGTCATGATAAATACACTAATACAACTGATTTTGTTGTGACTAATGATGAATAAGGCTTAACTGAGACTAAGCAATCCATTGGAATTTCCTCTACCTAGCAACAGCCAGATTCACACGCAAAATATTAAATGACTGATTTCACTATCAGGCAATCAATAATGGCAACTAGATGACACTCATTTCAACAAATTCCATAGATTTGACGGAGTTCAAATGTACTTCATTCAATGAACCCTATGCACCCAGTCGAGAAACAAAATGGCCACTTGGTTACTATGGAGCTGTGAGCTTGAAAGCTGAGATGATCTGGTAAAATAACAGAAAAAGGTGAAGCTGGTGAGATGGATTAGGACTACCAAACTCAGGGCCTGTATTCCCAAGTGTCTCAAAATAGGATTGCTGATCTAGAATCAGGTCCTCCCTGTCTTATTCAGCATTATCTAAAAGGAAAAACTGATCGTAGATCAGGACTCCTACGCTGAAACACTTTATGAATACAGGCCCAGATCATCTGGAGGAGCTATAAAGGTGGAGTTGGCCAGCTGCACCTCACAGCTGCAGGAAGAAAAAATAAAATAAAAAAATCAACATGCCTAGAAATGTAGGTCAGGAGAATTCCACAGACTGCTTTCAGAGCTGAACAAGTGACCCTATATTAGACTTTGGACCACAGTAGCGACTCCTGAAGACTGACCTGCCATTTTAGCTTCTGTGGTTTTTTTTGGTCCTGCCACATTTGCCAAACGCTGTCATGATAGAGGACCAAATGGAAATAAGGCGGAGACTTTGTGTTTCTCTTCTGATTCTTAAATGAAGTGCATACTTTTTGTATGTGTACCTTATTTTAAAATATCAAATAATCTAAACTAAAAAAGACCATTTAACAGCTAAGCTAATGGCATTTGTGATAGCAGGTGCTAGCATTTCTGTGTAATGTATATGTTGTGCATCTGATAATGGACAATAGTACAGGGATCTATGGACAAAACATCCCCTAATACTTATTATTTTCCCTGATTCTGAAATGCAAACTTTGATTGAACTGGTTAATCCAAGGGCAAAGCTATTCTTTGTAACTTTAGATGCAGTATTCCTAAAAGGGGGGGATATTTGTCTCAACATCTGTTAACAGCTGCTTAACCTACATTACATGACTACCTCTTCAATGAGACTTCAATAACCAGGAGTTTAATGATGCATACATATAAAATGGTGTAGGCCGACATTGTAAATAAGAAGGTGTTCTTAACTGACTTGCCTAGTTAAATAAAACTCAAATAAATAAAATAAATGATGATGCATTTGGGATGACATAATATTGACCACTATGCAAGAGCAATTAAATTGTTCTCCATGAGTGACTATGGCTGCATGGGTCCACTGAATAGAGGCTTGTGGAAGAAAAACACTTGTGCTGTCCAGGAGAAGTTTATGCAGGTTGAAGTAACTTTATAAACTCGATTATTTTCTGAAAAGCTACACAAAGAATGCTAATATTGTCAAAAGTCAAGTCACTAGCTAAAATAAGTGTCAACAATACGAATGTCTGACCTTATGTAAACACCAGTGAAAACGTCATTCACCTTTCAAACAGTCAAAAAATTGACGCACTGCATGGTGCGTGTTCATTTACAGCTTAAGTCTTAGAAGTCTTGTCCACTCACAATCAAGCAGTAGGCAATAACTGTCCTCGCTGCAATTTCCAGATTCCTTTTCATTGCAATTACACACATGAATAGCTTTGGGGCTTTTTTGTAACCCCCACGTCTCCTTCCAACCTCCAACTCCCCTTCAAAACAATCTAGTCTAGACATTGTTGGAGAGCCGCTCTCTCCGCCCTCAGCCCATCTATAGGATAACCATCTGAACCCCATGGCTCAGCATGCCATTCCACATTCCACATTTAACTAACACCTACAGCTCAGAGTCAGACAACTGAATAGAACTGAGTACTGAGCCCTGAGGAACCCCTCGGCCATTAGCCCTTGTGGTGGGTGCAGGAAAAGATGAGAGGAAGAGGAGGGAGGGAAAGATGACAAATGGAGGAAGAGGAGGAGGAGGAGATGGGATGTAAAAAAGCGTTAGAGGGAGGCAATTGGATGGTGCCAGCTGGAAGAAATAGGAGAGACATATATAGAGAAATAGGAGGAGAGATATAAATATATATATATAAAAAGAAAGAGTGAGTGAGATAGAGAGAAAAATGAGGGAAGGATGAGGAGAGATAGCAGTGGTGTACATGGGCCCATGGCTAGTGCCAGCTGGAAGGAGAGGCTATTACCCTCTCCCATTCAGGAGCAGGACGGAGTGGGAGTACAATGAACCGACTGACCGCCTGCATGCCAGCTCATTCTCCTAACCCTGCTGGTACTCTGACAATATGAGCTACCCATCTGAAACGGTCCTACTCTGAGCAGAACTGGAGGATACACCATATCATTAAGGTAAGCTCATGACATTATAACACTCAAATCAAATGTATTTTTATAAAGCCATTTTACATCAGCAGCTGTCACAAAGTGCTTTACAGATACCCATCTTAAACCCCAAAGAGCAAGCAATGCAGAGGCAGAAGCCCAGTGGCTAGGAAGAACTCCCTAGAAGGCAGGAACCTAGTAAGAAATCTAGAGAGGAACCAGGCTCAGAGGGGTGGCCAGTTGTCTTGCATATAGAGTGGACAACTGGACAGAACATGCATGGTACAGCCAGTGGTCCTCAATGTATCAATGCATTGTTACGCATCAACACATTTCTATGCATCTATTTACATTTCAAATGCCGTTAGCAGTCTCTGGGATTTGCAATGGATTCAAGCATGACATTGCCTTCCTAAAGAAAACCTCATAATATCACTTCTGACATTTGGAGTCACGATTGGAAACGAATCCTTTTACTTTCAGATCTGAGCAACAATACAAATGAGTCCTAATTACGAACCTGAATTCTGGGAATCCAGGTGCATATTTCTTTCATTGCTATCCTCATTAAAGTCTGAGTGGCATCATCACTAAAAGAGACTATTGAGTCAGTCTAGTCTAAGCCTCAGAAAGCACAGCGTACGATCCTCCTGTGAAGCTACAGGTCCTGTGTAGCTCAGTTGGTAGAGCATGGTGTTTGCAACGCCATGGTTGTGGGTTTGATTCCCACGTAGGGCCAGTATGAAAATGTATGCACTCACTAACTGTAAGTTGCTCTGGATGAGACCGTCTGCTAAAATGACTAAAATGTTTTTAAAAAAGCTGAGGGCGCTTACAAGGAGGTATTTCAATTATTTTTCAAGCTGCAAAAACACAAATAAAGCAGAAAGCATATCTGTTATAGTGTGACAAAGTATACATCTTTCAGTATGTTTTGCATTAAGATATAGACACAGTCGTGTCCTAGAAAATAACATATTCACACATAATGTGAGGTGACAATTTCATCAGCACAGACCTATGACCGGAAAGGGTGCATGATGTATTGAAAGAGAGCCTTTATCCTGGTTTACATAGGAACCAAACAAGTCTCTGACGCTTGTCTCGGAGTCTCAGATCAATTGGATGGTACTAAGCAATGATGAGTTTTTGTCAATTGATCTGCGATTTAAACATTCTAAGTACCATCCACATACAACCCTCTCATATTCAGGCTATTTTGGGTAGATGGTAGATTGAAAGTGGATACATCAGTGGTGGAACTGATCAATTTGAAAGCATCAAGCAAGGAACATGGAACAAAGAGACCATGGGACAATTAGAATGCACTCATAACCAGCGCATATATACGGTACATATTACATTAGGTCCTTATTGGAGAGTAGCTGTATTATGGATTCAAGGGCCATCAGTGGCACAAACGATGAGTGGAATTGTAGCATTGGGAGTTGGACACGGGAAAGAGACAGATAAAGTGGTTTGAAGGGGGTGAGGAGAGAAGAGAGAGAGAATGAGAGAGAGAAAGACAGACGGAGAGAGAGACATAAAGAGAGAGAGAGATAGATAGAACGACAGATAGTGAGGAAATTATGTTAGCATTCTGTTTTCCTTTGAGAACATTGCATTAATAATATAATAATAATAATAATAATAATAATAATAATAATAATAATAATAATAAGCCATTTAGCAGACGCTTTTATCCAAAGCGACTTACAGTCATGTGTGCATACATTTTTACGTATGGGTGGTCCCGGGGATCAAACCCACTACCCTGGCGTTACAAGCGCCATGCTCTACCAATTGAGCTACAGAGGACCACTGTAGCTCAATCACACATTAACTCCATCAGTTCAATTAAGCCTGATTGAATGATGCATTGTATGGTTTTTCTATATATCATTATTTGCATGATCATTACAAAGTCAGAGAGAAACAGGGAGAAACGTAAACAGACAGAATGATGAGGTCATCAGTGTGGGACAATAGAATTAGAACTCACTCCAGGAAGCGGGTGATGTACTGGCGGCTGCAGCGCGACCAGCTGGGGGTGGAGGTGCCATACAGGAGCTGTGGAGACATGACGAAAGGTCTTTTCCCAATCGGCTCACAGTCATTGCCGTTGCCATCATGTTGAATCCCAAAGCTGCGGCATAGAAGCACATCCCACAGAGAGAAGGGAGAGTGAGTGGGCCCTGCATGGACAATTTGACATGTACACAGATATTTAGGAATATGCATCCACCCACACACCCACCCACCCACCCACACACACACCCACACTCAAATGCACACACACAGTGACGGCACAGTGAGTGAGTGGACAACTATACAATATAGTATACATTCTCAAATATACAGTATACACAGAGTGTACAAAACATTAGGAACACCTTCCTAATATTGAGTTGCACCCACTTTTGCCCTCAGACAAGCCTCAATTCGTCGGGGCATGGACTCTACAAGATGTCGAAAGAGTTCATCAGGGATGCTGGCCCATGTTGACGCCAATGCTTCCCACAGTCGAGCCAAGTTGGATGGATGTCCTTTGGGTGGTGGACCATTCTTGATAACCACGGGAAACTGTTGAGCGTGAAATACCCAGCAGCGTTGCAGTTCTTGACACACTCAAACCGGTGCGCTGGCACCTACTACCATACCCCATTCAAAGGCACTTAAATATTTTGTCTTGCCCATTCACCCTCTGAATGGCACACATACACAATCCATGTTTCAACTGTCTGCTCCCTGTCATCTACACTGATTGAAGTGGATTTAACAGGTGATATCAATAAGGGATCATAGCTTTCACCTGGTTAGTCTCATCAAAAGAGCAGGTGTTCCTAATATTTTGTGCACTCAGTATATATACACATACACACACAGCTGATGCAGAGAGTATGTTCAGAAAAGCCACACAAAGAATGCTAATATTGTCAATAGTCAAGTCACTAGCTAAAATAAATCAAAATCGATGTGTCAACAATACGAATGTCTAACCTTCTGTTACACCAGTGAAAACGTCATTCACCTTTCAAACATCCATCCAACTTGGCACGACTGCCTAGACAGGCTGCCTAGACGCACACTTTAATATGCACACATATGAACATACACATTCACACAGTACAGAGAGTCCAAAGAGAAGACACTCAAGGACAGACCCAGACATGCACATCATACGCTGCCAGAGCCTGCCTTGGAAACCGCACAAAATCCTTTGACAAACATGTCTGGCAGCAGTCTTGGTGTCTTTGTAGTGGGTAGCGTGCCCGCTAAGCTAATGCCACACATTGCTTTCATCAGGTCGCCGGACTTCCGGATCTCACACAAGCGTTACCCGACCCTGTCCCATTTACCCCTATGGCCACTGAGCAGAGTATTTAGAACCAATCTGAATCACTCTAGGGGGCTTCGCAATATATGCCACAACCAACCAATATCACAGCTTCACTCTGTGATGCTCTAAAGACTCCAAGACGAGGGCTGAAGCCTCAAAGACTATTCAAACTAACTTTTAAATTATATTTACATACCCTGTTGTTGTTAGTAGTCAAGGGCCCCTTTCCAACGAACGCCAAGGTCAGTGCTAGTTCAGTTAGAGCTCTTTCAGTGCTAGTTCAGTTAGAGCTCTTTCAGTGCTAGTTCAGTTAGAGCTCTTTCAGTGCTAGATCAGTTAGAGCTCTTTCAGTGCTAGATCAGTTAGAGCTCTTTCAGTGCTAGTTCAGTTAGAGCTCTTTCAGTGCTAGATCAGTTAGAGCTCTTTCAGTGCTAGTTCAGTTAGAGCTCTTTCAGTGCTAGTTCAGTTGGAGCTCTTTCAGTGCTAGTTCAGTTAGAGCTCTTTAAGTGCTAGTTCAGTTAGAGCTCTTTAAGTGCTAGTTCAGTTAGAGCTCTTTCAGTGCTAGATCAATTAGAGCTCTTTCAGTGCTAGTTCAGTTAGAGCTCTTTCAAAAAATTAAGTGGGACATGTACAGAGACATGCTATACATTGACTGGAGTTGACCTCAACTACTGACTCCCTCAAACTCTATTAGGTTTTGCATTGATATACAGCATTGATAAGGTCCACACCCTTCGAATTAAGGCTATGACATTGACACTGATGAAACGTGATCGGCCAAGACATTTGTCCCTAATGGAATAAACAAATGAATCTTCAAATCACCTTCATCCCAAGAGTGTGGACCTTCATCTTCTTGTCATTGGCCATTTGGATCTACGTACCACATAGTGAATTAATTGTACTTGTGTGCTGCACAACGTGTTTGTCTGACTTAACTAACTTGCATCATACCAAGGAACATTTAGATTTTCGATTTGGAATTTTAAGACCCCTTGAAGTATCCCAAAAATATTGAAATAAATTATTTGATGAAAAAAAAAAAGTTGGCCTTACTGCTATTAGCCCATACAAACGCATTGACTAACAGATTCAACAGATATTTTTGTCACTAAACAGTCTCCATATATACTTCCGTTAATTTGTTTGAGTCTTGTGAGGCCTGTGCGCGTCCTAGAGCAAAACAACCGACATGTACTGTACGTGTTCGAGAGAGTCTCATCTCTCACGAACATGTACAGAAGGGTCATATTAGTGTGTAGCCCAAACTATTCGGACGCTACAGACAGAAGTTGGCAGATCGGCTGTACCGACTGCAGACGAGTCTTGTGAGGCCTGTGGGCATCCTAGAGCAAAACAACCGATATGTACGTGTTCATGCAAGTCTCATCTTTCCATTTTCGGGATGTCTCATGGTCTGACAAACACCGCTCTAGCGCTGTCACCTTTCACCGTAGATGCAGAAGTGTTACATAGGCGGATGTGGTGGATTGAGACACATCCAATGCAAAAAAATAGATATCTCTAGCTTAAACTGACAGGTTTTTTTAATGGGGATCTTTGTAATATGCTAATTAGATGTCCGTGGGGCCAAGGACATCGACCTTAGGGGGTTTAAACCGTTCAAGCTAGAGACACCAAACAAACTTTGTCATGTTCAGGTTATCCTAACTTCAAATTCTTAAAAACGTTTATCAACTATAACTATATAAATGTGCATTCATTTGCATAAAATAGCCTACCAACAGTAACTCAAAACCATTCAAGCTAGAGGCATCAAACAAACTTTCACATGTTCAGGCTATCCTATCAATCAATCCTTCACAAGCTAGCAAGCACACCACATTTTCTTCAGGAAAGGAACTTTTCTAGTTTATTAAAGAAATATGTACTTACTTCGACTGTGATATGTGGTTGTCTCACCTAGCTATGTTAAGATGAATGCACTAATTGTAAGTCCCTCTGGATAAAAGTGTCTGATAAATTACTAAAATCAAAAAAAAAATCGTATTCGGCAAATGCGAAACATTTTATTTGATTTGGAACAATGTTTCTTCTGGTTGTGATTTATAACATTTTCTCAACTGCTTTTTCTGCTCAATGACAGCACATCCTTGATCTCTCTCTCTTCCTCTCTCGTTTTCTCTCCTCCCTTTTTAACACCCCCACTTTGCTATCTTGAACAACCAGCCAGCCTTGTTAGGGCCTGCAGTGTTGGCCTTATTAGCGCAACATGTGTTAGCTCTCCTGGATAATTAGCTACTCAAAAACAAGATCAGTTGCCTACAATGGAGAGATTCTGTGTTTTGCTATCAAAGACCACAATGGAGATAGATCCTATATTTGTTTGTGTTTGTTCTTGAGTATATTGCCATTGCATTTGTGTGTGGTTGTATATGATTTTAATTGTCAAATTAATTAGTTGAGAGGGGGATAATTTCATAGATATTTCTGTTATTATGCACAAATTTCAACATCATTGTGTCCGCCTCAACAATGTGTTTGTCATTGTTTGTGTCATTCTCCATTGAACTGCCATTGTATTGATGTTTGGCTGTATGTGTTTTTAATTGTCTACTTAGTTTAGGGGCCCATAGTGTCTGCCTCAAAGACAACATAACATCATTACAATGCCAGTGTCTGCCTCAAAGACAACAGAACATAATTCCAATGACAGTCTGCCTCAAAGACAACAGAACATCATTCCAATGCCAGTGTCTGCCTTAAGGACAACAGAACACTGAGGACAAAGAGCTTCATTAATAGGATCTAAAGGGGTGGAGGGACCAAGAGCAATGTCACATGGTATCACATTCGGCAGCTCCTCTTTCATTCAGGTGCGCACTGAATGTTTATTAAATACTTACTGTTGCATTCTCTCAGCCACACATTATAACTAAGCGACATGGGGGGGGGGGTACATAAATCCAACACCTGCCTGTTATCATTATTTAATGAGGATATATTCTCCATGGGTGTTTGTGTACAATGTATCCTAATTGATGGTGTCTGGGTACAATGCATTGTCATTACTGAGGGTATTTGGGGACAATGCATTTATATAGCTGTGTTTGTCAGGAGGGTATGTATAAGACTAGACCTAATACATGAAAGAAACACTTATTTTTGTTTAGCACACAATGGACATTAAACATCATGTGGATTACTCTATGGCTGCGTTTAGACAGGCAGCCCAATTCTGATCTATTTTTCACTAATTGGTCTTTTGACCAATCAGATCAGCTCTGAAAAAGATCTGATGTAAATTGATCTGATGTGATTGGTAGAAAGACCAACTAGTGAAAAACAAAAAGATCAGAATTGGGCTGCCTGTGTGAAGCCTGTGTAACATGAATCAATTTGGACACAATTTCTGTTCCAGCAAGTTTCGACATCACCTTGCTGATACACGAAGGCAAAGCAATTCAAAACGCAATTGAAGTTGAATGCAACATCCAATCTTGTCATACATCACGTTTTCATAAATGATTTGTTTATCGAAACGTTTGGTAATTGTAACAGCATCGATATAGACAAAATACTGGCTGTACAATTTAGCTAGTTAGCCAAAATGTTGCCTATTTGCCAACCGTGTTTTTTAACAACAGCTAACTAGCTAACCAAGCTAGCGATGAGCTAAGCTATTTAGCTAGCTAGTGCAGTTCATGTTGGACAATTTTAGTTGAAACTGGACAGAGAAAGGTCTGGGTTCACTATTAAAAGGACATTATTGACTGCCAGACCATGTACATAAACCACGACTAGCCACGGTGTCTAGAATGGTTTATACATTTCCCATTTGTCAT